CACACAGCGTGTCGAAACATAACAAGCTATTTAGATGAGCGCAGAAATATGTCTTAATAATAGTCATTGGCCAAGGAATGTTGTAAATGATATTGTTGTATACCGTATGAAATATTTATAATTATTTGGCGCAGAGCTATTCAGGTGAAATATTACAAGCATCGTTTGGATTTTTCTGGAACGCGCAATACTTTCTACCTCTGCCGTCGATGCGAGGGGTGGCTTTTAATAAATGATCTACTTTAAGGTAAGGAATGTCGATCATTATTAAAGAAATAGAAGTCGAATTCGATTATGTGCTCAGGGTTCGGTCGTGTACTGACGGCCCGGCGCCGGCGAATAGTCGTCTATCGCATTTTAATAATGTCGGCAACGACGACAAATATGCTTTGGCCACATTAAAATGCCGCCATCTTATCGCCCTGAGAAATTGCGGCAGCCCATTCTGCCTTTCGTGGCCCACATCGTGCACGCGCCATTCGCCATTTTCAACGGTATCGCAACCAGTGCACTATATGGGTCGTTAATTGTAAAAGTGGCGTAACTCCAAATTTTTAAAATATACATATTTTTGCTTGATGGAGTCACATTCTGTCATGTCTTTCATTATAAAAGAGAAGCAACTCCGATAAATGAAAAAAATAGAAGACACTTGATGATGAATACTTGCATTTGTTTTCCTACAAATTAAATTACAAAAAGCTCGTTATTTCAAAATTAAATTGTAGGAAAAAAATTCACTTGTACAATGAACGACACATGTGTCACACCCTTAGTGCAAGACTGCTACAATTCAAAATTTGGATTTTTTGTTTAGTGCTGCAAGTCTATTACCATAATTTGTATCTACAAAATGGTCTACCGCCACAAGTAATACATTTGTATCGGTATTGAATTTCTTAATTTTTGCTGCTACTAAAAAAACAATACCACCGATTTTTTAGATTTTGCGTAGTTGGATGTTTTTTTATAGTTAATCATAAGAAATCAAGACTGCCACACTTCTCATTTTGGCATATAAAATATTTGGTTTGAAAAGCAAACCAACTTTGGTGGCAGTTTACTTTTTCGTAAACTATTTGCTAAATTGCTGTAACCTCAATTTTTGGTGTCTGGTTGAGATTTACTTGAGTAGCTTGAAATAAAAATAAAAAGCATCGTGTAACATAAATAATTGCAGTGTATTAAAATCAATCATTCGGGAGCAGTTTCGATCTTAAAATTGAATTTCCTCAAAACTGTGTTTTTTGAGTTGTCACTAAGGGTGCGATGAGATGACGTCGACGAGTGTCCAACGATTTAAGCCATTCGGTCGCTAACTTATGTGTTCTGAACGACGTCATGTCCAGATGTTTTTTTTTAAACGGCAAATTAAATACAAAATGCCACAAAAAATATCCGGCCGCAATTTAGATAGATAACGGTTTCTATTTTTATTTTAGACATAACAGCATACTTACCTGATAGCTGGTAACTGTCAATAAACTATATGGTAACATATCCCCACAAACCCGATTGTAATTTATTTATGGTTATGGATATCTTTAGACAAGATTCAAGGAACTCGTGAAAATATTTTATACATTTATTTTTATGACGATGGTATTAAATTTTGATACGAAAGTAGTACCTAAGAGGTAAGGTATACCTATTGTAATTTCAATACCCTATGTTAAGTAGTGTTCTGAATTCGTAGACAATAGTCCCTTAAGAAAAGGCATTCGGTGACGGATGCGAGTGGACGTCTCTGGAGACACTAGATTGCTCTGTGCTGCGAAAAAAGGCTGTGGGATATAAAAACAGTGACTAGTTAAATGTACTCTGCAAATATGGCAAGGCATTATTTTACATCAATAAGTTTTTAAATTTATATTTTGACAACTATAATAATTATAAGTTTTTAACGGGTTTCTGGTATCCGATCTCTATTGAATATTATTTTTTTCTCCTGGTGAAATATATTAGATATTTTAATTAACGAAACCATCTCGATCTATTCTCTTCCATTTAGGCGTTGTCCTTAAGTTTTTTTACTCATTCCCTGTTTACCCTTTTTAAACACTCCATGCATCGATCGTCTACAAACAATCTTATTTCATATTCGATGTAACATGACCGACCCACGCAACCGCCTTTAAAACCTCCCCATTTGTCAAACTGCTACAATTGTCGATTCTTTCTACTTCAAACATCAGCTGTATTTTATTTCACGTATTTCATCTCTCTTAAAACCACTTGTCCTCTTCCGTTCGGCTCATTAATACTTGAAACTATCAACTTCATCTGAAGACTCATCTCCCATCTACTTAATGTGTGTTTTCCTTTATCATTCTCTTCAAAAACATATTTTTCATGATATGTATTCGGTTATATTTCCCCCCTTCTAATCCTTGTACATATCTTTCAAGTATGGTACTAAAATTTGTAATTTATACTTTACTCTTCCCAAGCTATATGCTTTATTATTTCATACATATAATCGGTACTTAAAATGTTTATAATTAATTTTTTGTAGTAAAATTAAAGTTAGTTAAATATTTTAAGAACCCTAGACAATTTGTCAAAAAATCCATGTATACTTTATACTTAAAATCCAACGTTGGGAAGTATGTCTAATTTAGCACCGCTTATTGGTCAAAAATACATGAAAACTTTAATAAGAATTTACTAAATTCTCACAATATATAGAGAAAATCTTTATCAATGGGGTGGCGTTTTTATTTTGTTGATAACTATACTTAATATTTTTTTGTAAAAACCATGCTGCGGCCCCCTTATTCCTAACAGAACAAAAATAATGAAGGGTCCCATATTTTAGACTTTCCCAGACTGTAACAAGAACTCGACAGGAACTCACATTTTTTTGTGTTGCTAGGGTAATACCTCGTTAATATTTTTCTGTATACTTGTTTGAAATTTATTTTAGATTTAAAGTTTTGTAAAATACGGGGATGGTTGTAGTGATAATTCACCATGGCAATGATAAAAACTTTTGGTTTAATATTATATATTCTACTTGGATGAGTCTCGAAAAAAAAGATAGGGCTGTACAATTTATATAACTGTAGAGATAATGTATACTACTTTGCGTTTTTAGTATTACTTTACTATATCTAAGAATTCTCTTAAATAAAAAAAAAACACTTTAAAAAATAATATTTTATTTTGTTCGTGAATAAAATTTAAATAATAAATAATAACAATTTACCGTTTTTAGTAATAACGTTTTAGTATATACCTAACTTAAAATAAATTAAAAACAGGAAAATTAAATTTTGTGAATGATCAAATATCGAATATTATTTTTAAAAATACGTTATACGATCGCACAGTAAAAAACATAATTATGAATAATATACTTTAATGTATAAAAAAAAATGGTGTCAGTCACTCATTGGGAATTCGGTACTAATTTAAGTGTGGTAATTAAGTATCTAACACATAAATCAAGTTAATGTGTTTTTAATAATAGTGATTCATCAATAAAATAAATTAAAAAGAGTATGAGAAAAGACCTCTATGAACAATAAATATATGTTGATGAACTTAGTCTTCTAATGAATAACCAAAATCGTTTCCCGATCTAAGAAACGCCCGAATTTCATACTTCAAAAAATCATTATTATATGAGTGGTTTTGACTTTTGAAGTTTGTTTTCGTGTACATATTAATTTTTAATATCTAATTAAGTACGATTATGTTTACAAACTTTCTGAATTTTAATGTGTCACACATCGTTTATGATTATACGATGTCACGATTCGTCAATATTATACATAGTGATATATGAAGTAAGACATTCTAAAGTCGGCATATTGTTGTTATCAAAATGAAATAACTACTTGTAACGTTTTTATCCTGTAGTAATTCTACTGCGATTAGTATAGTAGTATGTTTGGTCAGTTATTTCTTGAAATGTACACCATACTTATCGTTGCTGCACGGCTACTTTCGTTATTAATAATGTATAACTTTTGGGTAAACGGAATGACGCAATATGATAAAAGTTTTGTTCACAGATGTGCTAGATATTATACAAAGATATATATTATTAAAAGTTTTCATCGTACTATGTATACACAAATGTTATACCTAAAGATCTTTAAAAAATATATATACTATATGTTCCACGGAAGTTTTAAAGTTAAATAGTTATTATTATTATTTCAATATCAATGCGGAACTTGTGCCAATTTTAATGTTTTTGTTTTGTTAATTATACTATTATTGTTCGTTCGAAACTGAGAACCTAATTAGATTACACAAGTTAGATAAGCAAATTACTATTAGTTTATTGTGGTCATATTAACTGACGTTCGCAGTTACGCACTTTGTACAATTCATTTTAGTTTATATCAACTCCAGGGCAACGGTGATTGACAAATAAAAATATCACTAGGTACACTTAAGTGTATAAACGATATTAATACATCATAAGTATTTTTTAGGAAATAAAAAGTTTCGACCAAGTTTCAAAAGTAAAAAAAATATATATATATATACTAATTTAAGATAACCCTGCTTCATTTTATATTACATGTAAATTGTTTTAGTAAAAATATAAATTGTTTAAAATACTTATTGAGTTTGAACTAATGTCCCACTCGGCAATTTATAAGTAATATACTTAAAATGTTTTTGTGATAGGTATTTGGTGGAAAATTACATAATTAATATTAACATAAAAATGGAAATGATTCATATTATAAAATGTCTAAATGTTCAGTGCAATTATGCGAGAAATAAAAATACTGGTACAATAATTTTTTTAAATAAATAATAATATTACAGCGACTAACATTTTTTTAAATATAGTCAATATATTTTGAACGATTTACAGACAAACAAATAACTGTATATAACGTTATCGTTATAGTTCATTCATTTCATAGTTTATTCATAGTTCGAAGCGTTCGTTCATTTTATACTTTTTTTCTTATTTTTTTGGTGATTTTTATTAATTAAGTTTTTTTTTTGTTTGTTTTCAAATCTATTTCCAGATCCAAACCGGACACGTCCAAGCAACCGGCGTGTCGGTCCGGCGGATGCCGGGTGTGTTTGAAGAGTTTCAAGGAAGGCGACTATTCGCGTGTCTGCTTCGGGTGCAAGTTCAAAGTGTGCGAAGACTGCGCCACATCGTACACGAAAATCGACGAAAACCAAGACGAGGTAAAATGTCTTTTGCGTTAAAGGTGTATTATACAACGGTTTTGGTTTGGGGGCGAAAAAAATCGACGTACATTTTCTGTGCAACAACCCCCGTTAAGACCCATACGATTGGGGGGGGGGGTGGGAGGAGGGCCAAGACCATCAATTGCAAAACAGTCTGTTCCCATCCATTACGTGGTCAATCTAGAGCTGCCGACGCCGTACGATTACTTCCCCGCTGTTATTCTACCGGTCTAACAACAAATCCGTCAAGATTTCGCGTGGTTTCAATGCGAGCAAACGGTAACAGTGCGTGGACGGATATAAGGCAAAAACAAAAACAGGGTAGAAAAAAAAAATAGAAAAACAGAAAATAAGAGACTTATAAAAGACTATTTCGTTTATCTTCGATCAATTCCGACGGTACGTCACACACACACACACAAAAAGTACTTCTATTCTGTTTGTAAACGAACAGATTTTCCGAACATATCGGCTCTGCCGAGTAAATCGTCCAACCGCAAGTTTTAAGCTTTATTATTGTATATATATATATATAGATGTCTTTGGTATACTTATCGAATCATTAATAACGATTACGCAAATACTCGGACATTTCGTTCATTTAACTCCATTACGTGCGAGGATTATCGTTTAATTGTCGCTAACTAATGAAGTCAATGTCGACGCTTACAAATTCAATAATGATCACATTGTGTTAGAGCGCAGTCACGTTCAACGGTAAGTCCGTGTACCCAGTGAAATCCCAAATACAAAAACAAAATCAATTACACCATCTGTACGCTACTTGTCTCTGAAACATGTTAAATAATTAATCAGTATTGATATAAATTCGACAATGACATCCACTACTGTAATAACATGGAAAAGGTATCAACAAAATTGACTATACCGTATTAAACTAGTTCTTTACTTAGTGAATATTATAAATTAGAGTTCAATATTTTCTGAAGATATAAATTAAACGTTAAAAAAATTGGTAAAATTATGTATAAATTATAATTGAAAAAAAAAGATAAAAACTTTTTTGGGGAAAATTATTATCAAGTACAGTTTTTTTTCTAAAAAAAATGATAAAATGTTTGTTTCCAAATCCCAGGATAATATTATTTTTTAATTTTTAAAAAAATTGAATGTTTTAATAATATGAGTTTTTTTTATAAATTATCTAATTTGCGTATTGTGTTAGAACTAAGTTCACCAAAATTGTGGAGAATATCTTTACTATAGTTTGAGAATTTTTTTAATGATCTAATCATTTTTTTTCATGTATTTTAAAAGCATACTTTTAACTTTTAAAACGTTAAAAGTAACTTATAGTTTTCTAAATATTTTTGATGAACTAATTTTTAGTTCATTCAAAAATAATATTCCAAATTATGGGATTGAATTATCAAATATTTAAAAACCCTTAAGACAGATTAAATTAGTTCCTATTTTACTGTGATAATTTTGCAACTATTTCATGACACTTTGGTTTGGATTCCCGCATATCTATTTTTTGGGGTATATGATATAATATAGGCACAAATAAGAACAAATAATAAAATGCTTATAAAAAATACCTAAACCATAATTCTTGCTTTTTACTGCTATTTTCAAAATCGAATTCCAACAAAACAAACAATCATTGAATTCTTCTTCTTTTAATGGTGAAAGAATTTAAGCTTTTTGTTCGCTTAAAACTTTACAATATTGATCTACAAAAATTATTGATTTGATTGATGTAAAAAAATTGTAATTTTTGCTAAAGAAATATCTGTGATAATCTGAAAAAAGAAAAATAACTATACTATATTCCTTAATAAATTATTTATGGGTAGTGCCTTTTTGATTAAAATATAAACTTATCTTATAAAAAAATTAAAACAAAATGTACTCATAAAAATATAATAAATAAATTACTAATTATTTGTTAAATAAAAAAACTAAAATAAATTTGTATTCGGAATAATTACTTCATCTTTTACACTTTGACTGGATTGTTTTTAAAGTATTTGTGTGTATAATTCAACATAGAGAATATTTCAATTCAGATATAGACTAGAAAAAGGTATTTCACTAATGAAATGGTAGTTTATTATTTTTAGCAGGTGTGCTTTGTCATATGGTGAATCCGTACACTATACATTGTTTCAAAATCTGCTGACAGGTTTCTTGAAGTACTCACATGTGACGTGTGTTTACTACTGTAAAGTAGCAGGTTGTATACAAATGTATTGCATACCAAACGTCACTGCCGAAGTATAAACTATAACATATTATAATAAAGGCCTTGTACAAATATTATTATCCAGATATTGTGTCAAACTCTTGTGTGCATTTCAACATGAACTATTTATGTTTGATAAGCGTTTATAAATCAACCCTTTACTCCGATCTATATCATCACAAAAATAATTCTTGTCTTTATGTTAATCAATAACTCCTATATTTATTTCTAATTTTTCAGTTACCTTTTTAACAAAGTTAATTTTAATGTTAAAATGATGTAGAAATATAATATCTAAAAAAATATTTATCTTATTTCTGTTATGTACTGTATTATATTTATCCGATAAGATACAAGAGGACATTTTGACGGTAGTTATACACCGTTTTTTTCGATTAAACAAACAATTTGTTTTGTGTGATACAATTTAGTACAAATCTAAAAGTTTTTAAAAATCTTCAATTACCTACTAATTTACCTAGTAATATTATTTTTGTTTATTAACAAGGAAATCTTGAGCTTTCTGATGTATTTCGTTAGTCGTTTAATAGTGTACAGTTTTATTTTTACCGAAGCCTTTAAAGACTACGCAATAGTTGCGTATTGTTTACTCTAAATCCTTAAAAGTTCATTTTTTAATTTTTTTGTTTATAAAAAAAAAAGTTTTGAGTTTTAACTGCCCATGTATATTTTCTATTCGGTTTTAATTTAAAGTTTGTTTTTAACATAAAGAATAGAATATTTTACTAGTTACGAAGTTCATACAATAAATCGTTGAAAGTTTTAATAATTGTGGAAAAATAGTAGATATGATGCAGAAGAAAAACATACATTTCAACTATTTATATAAATAAAATATATTTTTACTGCATAAATACAACAAATTGCAATTACATATCATGTAGGTGTAATACATATATTTCAATTTATATTAAAATCGTTCGTATTATTATTAGATAATTTTTTTTCAACCGAAATTTGGTTATGATTTTTGTTTTTAACAATATAAAATTCATACCAATTTAATAATTAATTCATACGTCGTCTACGTTTTTACTGTGACTACGATCGATTTTTGAATAGGAATTTTTTTTATCTGGAAATATATAAAGTACTATGTGATGTCGGTTGTAAGAACTCACAAAGAAGCCTAACCTGAATACTGGTTGAGACACGAGATGAAAAATTCTCTCGGTAGTCGGGGTACACACTCGTTCTCTTTCAATTCAAAGACTTGGTGTCCATTGTGTTTGACGGGTTAGGACTTATGTGTGTGTGTGAGCGCAATGGATAGCAGAGTGCATGGTAGTGAGATAAACAGGGAAAACGACGCACTTTATATCAGCCTGTTCAGAAATTAAGTTGGAAAAAAAATATAGGCTCGTTGTCCGCACAATGGCGGGTTAGCTTTTGTACATATCGATGTCGGGCTGATGGAGAAACGGGCATTGTGTGTCGTGAAATCTTCAAAAACCCTTTTTAAAAGCAACAGATACCAAACAGTATAAATGGCTGTCACCCTTTTCCGTTAACCTTGTACGGCCTCTGAAAAGATTGCCCATCACACGATATTTGATCCAGAGTATATAGGCATATCGGTGATCTTAAGATTTGCATGGTAGACAGCATTCTGTCCGTATGCATATTATAATAATATTACGGTTATACTGATAAATGATAATGTAACTATTTTCATAGCATGTTATCTATTCGGTGAAAACATATATTTTATTCTTATTCAAATGTAGATTAGGTACGCCATACGCAAACTATTATAAATCTTAACTTCGCAATGTATAACTTCTGTAAGACAAATGAGACGTAAACGTACAAGTCTAGCGTTGTTCAACAGGACTTGCAATCAAGAACGCTTACGGGTCGATACTTAACACATACACTTAAAGTGTATTAGTAAAGAACTGCGCGAGTCTTATACATAGCAGCAGTCGGCATTATTTGACTAATACTATAAATAATATTACACTTGTATATTTTTCAATTCGCGGTAGTTTGTCGAGCATACGGTTTTTGTAGAATTCATCTCGAGTCTGTGAAACTGTAGCTGTAATGGTTTCTTATATCAACTGTTTTCTTTTACACATAACATTTATTGCGATTTTCTATTAAACCGAACAATCCCTAGCGTGACTCGTTACGCAATTCCGTAAAGCTAACTTTTTCCATTGTTTATTCGTGACGCTATTATAGATAAATATTTTAAAATAAATATATATTACATATATCTTGGCCGTGTTGTGTTACTAGTAATAACAGGGTATTGTGCTAATATTTCTTTTTTTACATTTACTACTGCACAGATCGAATGTACAGTCTGGAAATTAATTCTAGGCCTCATGTTGTTCGGTCTTCCATTGCATTTTTTTAACCTTTTTTCTTGTTTTTTTCTGGTCTCTTGTCCTTTGATAATCTTCTAGCATGGGTTTTTTTTATTATACCAACGCGCAATGATTAAACGCGGCATTGTTGTATTTAAATAACTGCAATATCATCTTTGTGCGCAAGGTGAAGTTGATTTTTGAAATAAAATATTATAAAGGTCTCCAGCTACAGCTACAGAATCGGTTTCGTGTACGTCGAATTGTTTGTAAGCCACTCCAAAAATGTGTTACCATTCATCTAACGACGATAATCGGCATTATTAGACTTCCATTCAAAACATATCAATCCGCTTTCGAAAAAACCATCTTTGATTCCGATTCATGTACAACATTAAGCCGTTTGCCTTTTCCCGGAGGATTACCCACGCCAATTGTCAATACTCTAGCAA